CTATGAATACACCTTTCCTAATCTTAACCTCCTTTGTCTCTGGTATTCCTTCTTTGATTGCAAGGGACTCGAAAGTCACCAGTCTGATAGTCTAGAGCTAACAGGTTGAAACTTGTATTTCTTCTATATCACAAAGGTTGTAAGGCAGCAATCATAACAAAAAGCAGACAAAAACTGGTAACATTTTAACACACTAACAATATACCATCCAAAAACCATGAAAAAGAATTACACTTATAACAGTGTGAAAGAAAAAAATTATTAGGAATAAATTGAGTGATGCATATAAAAGATCTGTACACCAAAACCACTAAGATCCAAATGAAGAAAGAGCTGTCCATGTTCACAGTGAGATGAATCAATATTGTCAAACTATCACTACAACCCAAAACAATGTGCAAGATCAATGTAATTTCTCAACATTCCAGTAGCATTTTCAACATGGAAACAAGAAAGTTCTAAAATTAGAATGAAACCTCGGAACATTCATATTAACTAAAGGAATCTTGAGAAAGAACAATGATGGAGGTTAACACTTATGACTTTAAATTGTATTGTAAATCTAGAGCAATGAAAATATTATCATATAAGAATAAAAAGAAACATACCAATCAATGGAACAGAAAAGCAATCCCAGAAATAAACCTACTCTTATGTGACCAACTAATGTTTGGCAAAGACACCAATAATAATACGCACTGGAAGAAGGATAATCACTTCAATAAATGGTGTTGGTGGGCCAGGGAGATGGCTCAGTGGGGCCAGGGAGATGACTTAGTGGAATAAGTGCTTCCCTGGCAAGCGCAAGGACCTGAGTTCAATCCCCGGTTCTGCCAAAATAAATAAATAAATAAATAAATAAATAAATAAATAAATAAATAAAATGGTGTTAGTAAAGCTGGACATAAATATATAAAAAATAAACATCAATTGGATCTTTATGTAATAACATACATAAAAATCAACCCCAACTAGATTAAAACCTCAAACATAAGTCCTGAAACCATCAAGCACCTGTAAGAAAACAGTGGAAACACTTCCTCATGCAGTACCATAATTTTTTGACTATAACACCAAAATCTCATGCAACAGAAGCAAAGCAGGCACACTGCACTGTATCCAAGTAGAAAAACTCCACAGTGCATCCAAGAAAAAAGTTTCCTCACAGCACAGGAAACAACTGAATGAAAAGTCAGCTGTTTCAGTGAGCAAAAAAGCACTGGCAAATCATCTGCTATTTGATATAGATCAATGTTCAAAATACAATGACTGAAGTCCCCACAAGTCAACATCCCCCAAAATATTTACAGATGAACAAAAATAAGACCTCATTGGCAAAGGACTTGGGAGAATGAGGCAGGAAGATTGTAAGAATTGGAGGCCAACCTAGGATACATAGTTTGTTTGAGGTCAGACTAAATTACATGACCATAACCTGTAAAAAAAAAAAAAGATGAAGGGGTGGTCTGGGGTTGGAGCATTTGCTTCCAGTGCAGGGTCTTCCCTCAGGCCTCCTCTTTCTCCAATGGAGCTCACAACCAGAGCCAGAGGAGTGGTGAAGGTTGCCAGCACTTCCTGGTTGAGGTTGGTCTGAGATCCTCTATCCAAAAGGTGCCCTGGGGAAGGAGGACACTCCTTTCCCTGCAGGATTCAGCCCTCATCAACATTGTAGTATCATGTAGTACAAGTCCACTCTTGTATTACATCCCTATTGACCATGAGGGCCAGGGAAGAATGTTGTGTGTCCTCTTTGTCCAGTTAGCTTATTAGTGCAGGTTTCAAAACTCAGTGATTGATGGGCCAGGAAAATAGTTTAAATATATAATATGACCAAGAAATTGTTATTTCCTAGTTATGGTTGAATCTATTTAGTATGTAAATAGACAACACTTCTAAAATCTTATACAGAAAATCTGAGATGTAAGGCAAGATAACATTGTAGAGTAAAAATCATGGTGACAGTACAATAACTCTTAGGTCTTTTTTTGTTTGTTTTTTGAGACTGTCTCACTGTGTATTTTAGGCTGAACTTGAGCTCACTTTGTAGCCCAGGCTGGTCTTGAACTTGTAAAGGTTCTCCTGCCTCAACAACCTGAGTGCTAGAATTACAGATGTGTGCCACTATCCCTGGATCTAAGATTTGTTACTGTCTCTGAAACATGTTTAACTATTATTCTTTGCATAGAATAACTTTTTAGTCAAAGATCTTCTCTAACTGTAAGATATTAAATGACATAAAGAAATTTTCACCTAAAGTTGTTATCTTTTGATAGAGTCTCATTTAAGGAGAATCCACTTGAGCCAGGTATGGTGTTGTGTGTCTGTCATCCCAGCACTTGGGAGAATGGGGTAGGAGCATTGCTATGAGTTCAAGGCCAGACTGAGCTTCATGGTGAGTTCAAAGCTAGTCTAATTACACAGTGAGACCCTTTATCAAAAAGGCTCTGCCTACAGATGTACTGTACAGGTTATTAATGTGTAATCTTTAAATTTTAGAGTGAGTTGGCCCAGACTGCAGTGTGTTTGAGTGTATCTAAGTGTTGAAACACATATCTGATACACATCACAAGCTCTAAAGCAATGTCTGCATTATCTGACTGCCTGATTCATGCTGTATTGGCAAGCCCATTCCATTGCAAAGAGTTGAACACAAGTAAGGGTTAGGCAGATGCTTGAATTCAAGCAGATTATGATCATAAATACTTTTAGGTAGAAGTCAGCAATACTGTAAGATGCTTTTTCAGGTTTGTATGTCTGAATGTGTGTACTTGGGAAACGCAGATACAGGTCTACCTTGGTCCACAAATTTAATTCATTCTGTAATTCTGGGGACAGTAGCTGTGTTCACAATCATAAAGGGAACATATCTGCAGTTGTGATTGTCACCTGATGCTGAGTTCCTGAATGGAAGCAAAACTTTTCTGAATGCTTCTACTTGTGAACTCAATTGTTCCCACAAACAGAAGCGAATTGAGGTATTATATACCATTTAATATACCATGAGGTTATCACAGCTAATAATTGGCATCATAGCTATACACCAATCTTGCATTTATTTTGATTCTACTCTTAAAACAAAAGCTAGACTCCTTCAACAGGTTTATAAAGTAGGACTAAATTTACATAATTAATGATTTTTTATAAGTCTGATAATTTTAGCAAGCAGGATTAATGACATCAAATAAACTTGTTACCTAATGTACAATAGTATGTCATTTACACAGTAAAAAATGTGTAAAGAAAACCAATTAATGAAAAAATTTAATGAAAATTAATGTGTAGGTCAAGTTTCAATGTTAGGACCAAATTGAAAGAGACATCAAATTGTGAATGTGTGTATTCATACTCCATATAGGGAAGGGATAGGTGAAGAGTAAGCCACAGAATAACTCTACTTCAGAGTTTACAGTATTTCCTCCCACTATGACTAGGTGATAAACAGTTTGGGCTAGAAGGACGTGGTCTCTGTCCTCTGTGGGAAGAAATCAGGCCCAGCAAGTGTGGCTTTCAGAGTAGGCTGAATTTGAAGGTGTTGGCATTAAGTTCAACAATCTGCTTGAATCCCTGCCATATGGCCAACATTGAGCAGAGAGTATCTTTTCCCATCTACTGATGTGAGAAAGGACTGGCCTTGGTTGGACAGTTGCTACACACTGAGGTATGGACAGTGAAGCTTCAGGAGAAAGGAGGACACCTTCCATAAAGTTAGGTAGAGGAAATTGTGACTTGCTAGGTTCCAGTACCTTGGATCCTAGTAACAATTCATTCATTCAAAAACACTGAGAAACCTTTCTTGTTGAGAAACGACTTTTTTTTCTTTTTCCTTTGCTATTGTGGGGGTATAGGCTTATTTTCTTCCCTGGTGTTCTTTTAACTCTTTCTTTTTGGTTCTCTCTCTCTCTCTCTCTCTCTCTCTCTCTCTCTCTCTCTCTCTCTCTCTGTATCGTGGGACCAGGGATTGAACTCAGGCCCTTGCGCTTGCCAGGGAAGCGCTTATTCCACTGAGCCATCTCCCCGGCCCTTCTCTCTTTTTTTTTTTTATTCTTCATTTTCTTTTCCCGTTACGAGGTACAATTAATTTCCTTTTGCCCTTCAATACAATGTCCTATCTCACTTTTTCTCTTCCTTCTTTTTCATTGATTAGTATTTCAAATTTTAGTTTTCTCATTCCTTGCATTCCCAGTCTCTCTATATTTACTGGTACAGGCATTAAGTTTTATGATTCTTTTTATAGCTAACATTATACTATTACTGTTGAATAATATTGTATTTTTAATGGAGATAAAGCTGGTTCACTTAGTGGATTTCTTCTTCAGTCAATACTTTTACTTGTTTAGAGTATAGTAATAGATCCTGTTTCTATGGTTAAATCTGGTATGTTAATGATTTTTAGCTTATTTTAATAATAGTATAACTTCAATTCTATTATTTATTATTTTATAATTTTTTATTTGTTTATTTGTTTGTGGAACTAGGGATTAAACTCAGGCCCTTGTGCTTGCCAGGGAAGCACTTATTCCACTGAGCCATCTCCCCAGCCCCTTTAATTCTATTATTGATGCTGATTTTATAGCCAAGAAAAGGTAGCTCCATCTGTTCATTGGTTTTCCTTGTATACCAGCAGTTGGTTTTCATTTGTATCATTACCAATAATTGTGGCCCATTCCTGAAGATCTGAGTACTGTGGGAAAGAACTGGGTGCACTCCATCCTCTCAAATAAACACAGGTGGCTGGATTCAGAACAAAACTGTCTTTTTAAGTACAGAGAGACACTGCTCTCATAGACCTAGCTTGGCATGCCTCAGAAATCCTGGACATGAAGACTTCCAGTCTCTTCTGCATCCAATGGCGAACATTTGCAGGCCAATGAGAGTTCATTCTGATCACTTTCCTTTGGGAAAGCAGCCTCAGCTGAAGCCCCGCCCTGCACTTAGATGTTCTCTAGTCTAAACTAATGTCTTTCTGTTGTCAATATTGAATGATTGGACCCCATGTGTGTTCAGGCAGGACTGCGCGCCTGAGAGCCTTCGCTCCGGGTCGGGAGCTTGCGGGGTCTGGGGCGCGGGGTCCTCGGCGGCCTCTGGGACGGCACCATGCCTAAGGCACCAAAAGGAAAAAGCACAGGACGAGAAAAAAAAATTGTCCATCCATACAGTAGAAAAGCGGGTCAGATTACAAGAGAGGCCCACAAACAAGAAAAAAAGGAAAAATTTCTAAAACTTGCTTTGGGAATTTGCTAACATACATACAAATTTTCTTCCAAGATTGAAGAATGAAAAGGCCTTACATCTCAACCTCATTGGTGAAAAACTGCAATGGTTTCAAAATCAGCTGGATCCCCAAAAACTGAGATACTCAAAAAAGGATGCTTGTCAATTAATTGAATTGTACTTAAATCGGTTCAGCAGTGAGCTGGAGCAGATCGAGTTACAAAACAGCATCAAGGACGGGCAGGGAAGGCGACACCATGCCCGGGAGACCATCATCAAGCAGACGATGGAGCGTGAGCGGCAGCAATACTATGGCTATGGCTTTGAGATTCCGGACATTTTACATGCAAGTAGTCTGAAAACTTTTAGAGAATGGGATTTGGATCTGAAGAAATTGCCAAACATTAAAATGAGAAAACTTTGTGCTAATGATGCAGTTGCTAAGAAGCACAAGAAGAAAGCTCAAAATTTAACGATAGACAAAGATTTAGGGCAATTGGAGCTGAAAGGGGAATCAAGTGACTCTGATGAAGTAATGATTCCTGTGGCCTAATTATCCTGACTTGATTTGAAAATCACTAATGTGAGAGCTTTAAGTCATACTCCTCATCCATGAGAAATAATTGTCTAGTACTTGCTGTTTAACTTATTCTCTTTCATAATGTGAATTACGTTTGCAGTTTCAAAAATAGTATTGTAATTTTTATTTAAATGTGAAAATTGCTTTTCATTTATATTAAGTTGCTAAAATGGAAGATGCATTTTGTTTTTTATTACTATAACAAATACTAGAGACTAGGTAACTTATAAAGACATGGACTTAGCTCATGGTTTTGGAGGCTGAAAGTCTAGGCAGCCTCTGCTAGCTCTGGCCAGGTCCCCTCTTGCTTCTGTGCTCCCTGGCCTGATATCAGAGCAGTGGGAAGCACCAGAGGGGGAGATCTCATGGAGAACCTGGAAGCCGGAGAACAGAAGGGACCAGTGATGGCATTTCTTAAGGGTTCAAGAGAATTTAATGATTTCAGGTTAGCGTCATTTGATTGTTACATTATTTTTTGCTTTCTCATTGTGAAAAGTGGCAAGTTTTATTCAGACCTAAAAGTTAGAGAGCCAATGATTATAATTGCTACTTTTTCTTCTAACAAATATATTAGTTAAATTAATGTATCATATAGTATTTCAAATGTCATAAACACTTTAAAGAACTTACTAAATGCTAATGTGTGTTAGTCTGTCTTTTAAAAGGTGCAAGTATATTTAAGTATTTTAAAGAAAAGGGAAAAAAGTATACTGTATGAAATTAGGTATCAACTAAATTGTTAACCATTTGTATAAAGTGTTACAACTTTTATACTTCTAAAAATTAAAAATAAAATGTATTTCTATAATTTAAAAAAAATTGAATGATTTATGCACAATAATACTGTATGTTTTTCTTTCAAGAATTCATTTTCTTCCATGTTCCATGATAACCTGATCCATTCACCAATCCACAGACAGCTGCCCAAAGGTAGATTTAAAGAATGACCCTGACTATCTGACTGGATTAGCCAGCTATACAGACTTCCTTAGATAGTGAGGCATGTTATAGGGTAAGAATAGCATTAAGCTTCTCTTTTGGAGGGTTGACAACTTAAGTATACAGACAAAAATTAGAGAATAAGAAGGGCTGCAAGGACAGGCAACATTTTGGCCAGAGCCTTTCAAGGTCAGTGAGGACTGTGGACATAGGAGAACCTGTACTGTAACATCCTGTAACTCAAATTGTGTCCCAAATTTTCTGATCAAGGAGACTATGGGGCCACAGAGGAAAGTGATCGATGATGTAGAGTGTGCCTAAGGAGAGTCACATGAAGAGAAACATTCTCTCAGACTTCCACAGAGAGCAAATTGGCCAAGAAATAGCTGTGCCTCATCCATACTCACAAAGGATCTACAAACCGTGGTACAGCGTTTCAGGGTAAATCCTGAGGGGATTTGACTGACCTTGTTAGATACAAAAGTTACATTTCTTGTTATATAGGTCTTGCTTTATCTTGGTCTTAACCATCCAGCAGAGAAATATAAAAATGAGGTATAAAAAGTAAAGCCATATTAATTTGCTTAGTTGTAAAAGGCTCAAGTCAACAACTTCTGACATTGCTAGTCTTACGGATAACCCACTACTATTATGGACTACTGGAGTATATTGTATTATTTTGCTGAATTTACATACCTACAATATTTAAATGGCAATGGAATACCCATCTTTGACAAAACTAAACAAAAAAAGGGATACAAATGAAGGACCATTTTGTATCTGTATATACAAAATAGTTAGGATAGATATACAGCTACTTTCTCTTAATTCAATGAGAAGAAAGATTTGTACTAATAGTGTTTGGACAGGATATCATGTCTGCATCTTGTACTATGAATAACCACTAAGAAGACAACAATATGCAATGTATTAATTATTGAAACTGTCCTCTAACTGGTTTTGAAACTGTCTCATTGGTATTTGTTTCTCAATAAAATTAATACAAGAATAATAAAAAATATACTGGCTTCTTGTTTATTCAATAGTCACTGCTGTTTGATAGCCATAGCTGATGTTCAAAACTTCTGTTTTGCTAGCCATATATAACTGTTTCTTCTAAAGGGACAGATTATGTATGTTAATATAAACTTTTATTTTCAGGGGCATGTTCAGGCTGGGTAGTATGTAGAAAGGACTGGATACAGTCTTTGGAGCTCAATATATATTCTTAAGCGTGGGTTAAGAAGGTCTGTTAGACTCTAATTTATTCTGCTGCAGGTAGTAGTTTCTGTCAATTTTGAAAGGAAAAAAGGGCAAAAAAGGAATTCCTTCCTATCCCTCATTCTCTGTGCCCAATCTAAAGCTCATTTCACAGCAACTAATGCGACTAGCAGTGACATACAAGTGCAAGGAAGAGGCCAAAAGTGTGTTAGCCTCTTGTACTATGCATCTGGGCCTCCTTCATGGTGAATCTCTCATCCTGGGACCAAACTTATCAATAGGCTTACTTTTGCAGAGCCTTGGTTGTCATCTCTCCCAGAGTGGTATGAGGGCTGTCATTCTAGAGAGTCATCATTGCAGGAGACAGACATTCCTCTAGGGACTGATGCTATAACCCTATTTTTGAATTGGTGTCTGTTCAAATACTTAAGGGTGTCTAAAATTACTTTATATTCTATCAGTAAACTTCTCTGTGTTATCAAAATTAGCCTTCTTTCTTGACAGGAGAGAGAAGTGAAAGGGGTTAATCTCCATTGTTGCCCAAGGACAGAAAGGTTCATGAATTTAAACTAACATTTTCTCATTTGTGCTTTGTGTGTGTGAGGATGAAATCTTGGTGAGCTTTTTAGAACATGATCCAGAGATATATGAAAAGCAGCTTTTTGAAAGGGTACAGAGAGGAGGAAACAAGCCATTCTGGAACCTTAGTACTCAGAGCCAGCCACCAGAGCAAAGAGTATTGCAATGGATTAAAAAACTACTGTGATAAATTGTACTATATCTCACAGGCAGGGTACGGGAGAAGGTACAGAGTAGTTATGCTATGCAGGGCTCAAGAACTGAATCCTGCTCATGTCAAGGGTAGAAAGATAATCAAGACAAAAAAAATCTTTCCTAGGGTGGATCTATAATCTGTAGCAAATCATGCCTCCAACATCAGAAGTTATGATCAACTCAAGATGCATTGCAAAACTGAAAATTAGATAAATCACCAAAGAACCTGAATGAGGGTCTTCCAGTCTGTCACATAAGAGGCTCTTGACCAGGAACAAGCTAAACCAGAACAATTATGGGTCCCTTCCTGGATGAGCATAGGTTATGATTCCCTCAAACCTAGAGATTGGTGTTAAGTAACCTGTAACTTGCCTTTGATTTTTTTTTTAATATGGGGATCAAACTCAAAACATGCTTCTCTTATAGATGGACCTTGAGAGCTTGTTTGGAGGTTCTAGCAGGGGAGCGCGGCTACTCGTATACCCTTGACCGAGGAACGGTCCTCCTCTGTCGGAGGTGGTCGTCCTCTTCGACTGAGCTTGCAGCTTTGGGAGGGATGCACATGGATCATTGAGGGTGGAAGGGGACACCCGCCTAGCCAGCCAGATCAGCCGAATCAACACTGGCGATCAATGGGGTAACAGATGTCACAGCCAGATTGCCCTCACATCCAACTTCTCTTATAGATGGACACTTTTTTTCTGTGGGCTTAGGAGCTTCCAAATGGGAGGCAAACAAATGATTTTCAGGTTGGCAGAGAGAAGCACACTAGCATTTCCTGACACAATAATAACAATCATCTCCAACAGAGGTGAACTTTCAAATCATGTCCCATAGTCTCTGGCTGAATTCTCAGACAAACCTCTGCAAGCTGCAAAACAATTAGAAATTTTAAAAGCCATTTCACCAATCTGTCTAAAAGAGATTGCCGAATCCTCTCTTAACTGCCAAACAAGTCAGAACTAAATAGAGGCAAATCCAGCAACAAACATTGAAATAAGTCTCAATGCAGCTTATATGAAACAGCGATGCAAGGCCCTGCCTAGAAAAATAAAAAATTTCCTGTCATAGAAACCTAAATATTTCCCAACTCACAACTTTGATCATGGCTAAAACAACTAGTGCAAGGCATAAGCAATGAACAAACAAAGGATGACAATTGTTGATTACCTAAATGAATCGTTATCCCAAATTTAGACATAATATTTGGGGTGCCATGAAATAAAAGCAAATGCTTACCTCCTTCCAAGTATCATGGTGTGACTACCCCAGTGATATAGGAGAAATATAACTCCCAACCTTTTCATTATGATATATGTGAAGATTGTGTTTCCTGAGGTCAAAGAATGAATTCCAAGGGACAAAGTGGGTTAAGAATAGGAAAGGTTTTTTGAGAATTAGGTGGTCCTGAGAGACAGGAGGGGTCCCAAGTAGTTGCCGCAGAGGTCCTTTGTCAGAGGTATGTCTGAGGATACAGGAATGTCTCAATGTGGGTAAACTGTGGTCAAACTACAATGAACCTACAGGGTTCCAAGTACAGCCACTGAGCTAATGGTGACCCATATGTAAGGGAGCATATGGCTGATCTGAGTAACCATGTCTTATCTACCACTTCTAAAACAGGGACATTTTAGGAAGGGATGGAACATGGCTAGTCTTCCTGATGTGAACTCAGCTGTCCTCATCATCAAAGGGGCTCAGGACCTCCTTGTCATTGAGAATGGCTGCAGTTCACTTTGGGGCCTTACTGTAAGCATTTGCTTCTGGCTCCAGAGGGGAAAACAGTGCATTGTTCAGTCTCCTAGAGGAGAGTGTTAGGCTGGCATTCCTTGTACACACTCAGCTGCTCTCCATGTCAGAGGAGCTTGGGACCTTGCTGTTGCTGAGAATAGCTCTGGTACTTTTCAGGGGACCTCTGGTTTATACTTTGAGTGCCAGCTTTTGGCTTCAGTCTTATTCATCAGCCTGCTATCCTAGATCCTTCATGCCACTGTCACAGACTTTTGAGCTTCCACCTCTGGCCTTGGAGCCTTTCCAGTGCAAATGCATGAAACAAAGTTGCATGAGATGTGGTCTGGGACCCAGGGATCTGGCTGCACTCACAGGGACCATTGATAATGGATCCAGGCCTACAGCTGGATTCTTTTGGCTCTTAGTGTATGACCAAATTTCCTTTTGAGTTTAGCACTTTGGGTGACTACTATAAAATAATGTTGCCAATTATGTGTCCTATATTCCATTGTTTTTCTTACACACACTGACTACAGCACTTTTCAACCATATCTATTTCCTTTAACTCTTCAAATTGATTGAGTTTATTCCTGTTCTGTGTGTCTTCCCAGGAGAATTAAAGCATCATACCACAGCTATATGTAAGCAGCCATGTGGACAGTGACACAGTGAAAGCTAACTCTTGCAAACAACCCACATGCCCACCAACCAATGAACAGGAAAAAAAAGATGTTTGACTTTTTTTACTTTTAATATAATGGAGAATTACTCA